GGTGAAAGGGGGACCGTCAAAACAGACAAATTTTGCAACTTGTTGGTAATTATGAATTTGTTGCGGTTGAAATTTTCAAAGGCCACCGAAGCACTATCAGACTGGTTTGAGCAAACAGTTCTCTGTAATAATTTACAGCCATGAAGTCATTGTAAAAACAATAGAACTACTACTGTGGTTTCTATATGTATTGTGTTCTCTTTGTAAATATTACTGTTCAACGACATTAGTTGAGTGAAGTATGGGAATACCGGATAATCAACTAAATGATTATTCTTGGGTAGGTTCCGTAGGGCAGAAACCAAACATAAACAATTAAAATAAAGCGAAACCCAACGTCCACTCAAATAAGCAAAACTCATCACCAAGACAAGATTTACATTTAAGACAATGTGAAGGAAATGTTCCGACGACTCCTTATTGGAGTTATTGCCCTTTAATTACGATTGTTACCATTTGATTTTTTTTGTGTTTTGTGAGGATTTTTTTAGCCTCATTTTTTGTTTTGGGTAAAAACTTAAGAAGATAGAGAAAAACTAAACAGACAAAACAATCAGCAATATACCATCAACAAAAAAGAATTTTTTGTCATGAACTCTATTCTTGTCTACAAGGTTGGAGAGAGTCCATTGTTGATTATGCACATAGACCTATGGTGAGCGACACAGGCTCTTTAGAGCCTCTAGTTTTAAGTACAGTATAGGTAATTTCAATTTTTAAATTACTCAATAGAGTTAATATTTCAAATTTCAATAGATGCATTTATGTTATGAAGTTTATATGAATTTTTACATTATTTCATTATATACAGTTTAGAATAAATCAAATTTGAGAGGGATATACAGATAACAGGTTACCTTAAAAGTAATTTATTTTAGACATCGTTTAAATAATTAGTAGTTAAAATTATTAAGTAAAGTCTGTAATTGTTTTTGGGATACAATTACTGAATAAAATCAAGTCTCAATTAAATCCTAGGTTATCATCTATTACATGTAGTTCCAGTCGACTTTCAAGATTCTCAAGCAAAGTGATATTTTAATAGTTCAAAGAGACCAATTATTGACCAGAAGCGTCGATATGAAATGTAAATTCGCCAGAAAGTCAATTAGTATTTCAGGAGGTTACGTAGGTTTATTTTTCACGGGAAAAGACGTCTGTGAAAATTTGTTCATGCTTTAAAAATCTGTATAAATGGACACCTACACAAATGTATGTAAATAGTAATTTACAAACGTTATTTCTATAAGTAATATTTAAAATTTAAAATAGCCTCGTTTTCAACATAACCTGTACAGGTAATTTTGAAAGTTAAGTAATGCCGCTAGTTGTTTATGCCAAGAATTATTTATGTATAGATTTCCTCGAATTAAGCATCAATTCATATATCATAACCAGTAGATCTAAATCTTTGTGGATACGCACTACTAAATAATTATCACTGCATGGTCGACTATGAAATCGCTTGGAGCAGTTTTGTATTGTCACTTGGGATCAAGCTCAACATTTTCTTTACAGTATACACACATTTAAATAGGATCTATTTTATTGTTTTTAACATTCAATTTCTCCTTTCGAAATTAATCCATGGCCGTGTGTTACCTTTTCTCGTCAGTTTTTAATCTAGCGTCGTAATACAGTACATGATATATAAGGCATGAAAATTGAATTGTTACTGATCAGCTGTAATATCTATTGTAAAGGATCCTACAAATTAATGCAAGATATACAGTCACAGAAATAATTATACTTATAAGTACGTCTGAACCAGTGACAACTCTACAACAGATTTATCCATCGGATCACCAGCAGTGATAGTGCTGCATGGCTTTGTACATTCTGTATATACAACTCGTTTAAACATCAGCCCAACAATGTTAGATCTGTAAATTTGCTTTCGAAATTTTTTTGTTCTTCCCTCGCCGGGATTCAAACTATATATACACTTTTTTATCGATAACTATTCTTTCGTTTAATAATAAAAAATCCTTCAAATCCTAATCGCGACGACCGTATTATTTTTAGCTCACCTGGCCCAAAGGGCCAAATGAGCTTTTCTGATCACTTGGCGTCCGTCGTCCGTAAACTTTTACAAAAATCTTCTCCTCTGAAACTACTGGGCCAAATTTGACCAAACTTGGCCACAGTCATCATTGGGGTATCTAGTTTAAAAAATGTGTCCAGTGACCCATCCAACCAACCAAGATGGCCGCCATGGCTAAAAATAAAACATAGGGGTTTAATGTAGATTTTGGCTCATATCTCTGAAACCAAAGCATTTAGAGCAAATCTGACATGAAATAAAAATTGTTTATCAGGTCAACATCTATCAGCCCTGAAATTTTCAGATGAATCTGACAACCCATTGTTGGGTTGCTGCCCCTGAATTGGTAATTTTAAGGAAATTTTGCCGTTTTTGGTTATTATCTTGAATATTATTATAGATAGAGATAAACTGTAAACAGCAATTATGTTCAAAAAAGTAAAATCTACAAATAATTCAACTTGACCAAAATAGTCAGTTCACCCCTTAAGGAGTTATTGCCCTTTATAGTCAATTTTTAACCATTTTTGGTAAATTTTTGTAATCTTTTACAAAAATCTTCTCCTCTGAAACTACTAAGACAAATTTAACTAAACTTGTCCACAATCATCATTAGGGTATCTAGTTTTAAAAATGTGTCCGATGACCCTGCCCGCGAACCAAGATTGCCGACATGGCTAAAAAATAGTACATAGGGTAAAATGCAGTTTTTGGCTCATATCTCTGAAACCAAAGCATTTAGAGCAAATCTGACAAGGATAACATTGTTCATTAGGTCAAGATCTTTCTGCCCTGAAATTTTCAGACCAATCAGGCAACACGTTGTTGGGTTGCTGCCCCTGAATTGGTAATTTTAAGAAAATTTTTGCAGCTTTTGGTTATTATCTTGAATATTATAATAGATAGAGATAAAATGTAAACAGCAATAATGTACAGCAAAATAAGATCTACAAATAAGTCAACATGACCAAAATTGCCAATTGACCCCTTAAGGAGTTATTGCCCTTTATAGTCAATTTTTTACAATTTTCATAAATTTTGTAAATTTTTGTAAATTTTTACAAACTATTTTCCACTGTAACTACTGGGCCAAGTTCATTATAGATAGAGATAATTGTAAGCAGCAAGAATGTTCAGTAAAGTAAGATCTACAAACACATCACCATCACCAAAACACAATTTTGTCATGAATCCATCTGTGTCCTTTGTTTAATATGCACATAGACCAAGGTGAGCGACACAGGCTCTTTAGAGCCTCTAGTTTATACAAGTGAACACTCGTACATATGAAATATTGACATTGTTACAAACAAAGAAGATTACAAATACTTATACACTCTTAGACTTAGTATGTTATTCAAACTGAAAATGACGTATTCTACTCTTTTGTTGTGCAGTTGCTCGACTTGCTGTAGAATTGTTATTCTTTTGGTAAACGATGAGACAATTAAAAGCATGTACATGTACAAGCACCTATACATTTTGACTTTAACTTAAAATTCAGTAGATACAGAGACTTTTTCCAAATTCATCAATGAATCAGGAAAGAAAAAAGCATGATAGTAAAATACGACAGTTATCTTGAAACTCTTGACAAAATTGCATTTTGTATTTTGTATTGTATTTTCGATCCCAATTTTTCTTGTAATCACCTCCAAGTTTAGCAATTTTCGATATGACTGAGTTATTGGAAAATTCCTCCACCTTTATTATTCACATTTTATATAACAATATGTTTAAACATACATTTAAGAAGGTGTACTATGTTTTTAATGATACAACTATATATCAGAGTCTAATGAGGTCAGCGATGAGCAAATCTCATATCGCATAATAAGCTATAAAAGGCACAAAAAGGGCAAAATGTAAACTTATTCAAATGTGAAAACCAACGGCCTGATTTATTTGCAGATTTGATAGATAGACAGCAACTAACCACAATCCCTGAACTACGGCTACTAATTTGAACAAGCTTTGACACATTCCCCTTTTCAATTCTCAATTTTATTACATACCAAATGTAGCGGGTTAAACATGTTTTCAGGCGCTCTGCCATCTTACTAACCTGGAACATGGGTGTAACAACACAAAACACGAACAACTTAAGAATCAGTAGAAAACAGGTTTGATTGACCATATCAACAAAGGAAAACAAATAAACAAACGGATTTGAGAGATAAAGTACTGATCTTAGAGTACACGCAGTTCCTGAAAACGATCGAAAGACAATAACAACTAATACATATATCATATTTCTCAGATTATAATATTAATCAGTACACACCCAGTGGATTAAGTTTATCATATGTTCATCACTAACTATTTCCCATTGTTTAAGAAACATTTTATGCATCCCGGTCATTGATCATGTTGATGTCATTGATCCATTTCTTTAATCCTAATTTCAAGCCTGTGTGCCTTTGTTGATAATCAAAATAAGTTTGTATAGTAAATTTCATTGTGAAACTAAACAGAAATGTGTTACTTTTTTGCTAATCATTCATCAAATTAGATTGCGTTATAGGCGAATTTTGTATTCGGTCGTAAATAGATTATACATCATTGAGACAGCTACTATTCAACAATAAAAATATCTAAAAACACATCATGATGCAACAAACCGTCTTCAACGATATACCCATATCTGTTTTAGTTACATGATTGTTCCCATGAAAATTACTAATAAAAGCAAAGCTTAGACTACGTGTCAAACTTTTAAAGTTTACCGTTTTTCAGAGTGATCCTGGATAAACTTTCAAAATTGAGGTAATGATTAACTTGTTTGCGTCATGTGCAGGAACATGTTTATTGTTAATATTAAAATACAACAATCATTTAATCAGTTTGTCGAAATTCCCCTCCTTAATAATTTGAATTATTAGATAATTAAAACGCATGCATAGCAAAACATGTATCTTTTTTCAGATCATAATGTGGCATAAAAATTTGTACAATGTATATATAAATGATTTTTATTTATCTAGACCTTCCGTATCATCATCACCGACGTCTTCACGTAATGACCGCTTATTTGATACCAGAACAATTTGTCTTTGGATGGACCGTTCAGAGAACTGTTAGAACAGCTTTGAAACCACCACGGTCCTTGTTTATTGGCACAGTTGATACTGCTTTGTAAATCATTATCCCTGTCAACAGTAGAGAATTTCATTCCGTTGTGGTATTTTAACGCATCTCCTTTAATTGAAATATAACACATAAAACATACATGAACGTTAACAATATTAATTGCAACAAATACGCGCACACATTCGCCGTATGCAATATTTGTTAACCTGACTGTAGTGTAGCTTCAAGTTCATCGGAGTATGTGTAGTTTGTTTACTTCTTTTAGAGACTACGATCATGCCTATGTTAAGATTACAGTCAGATATGACAATTCATTCAGTTTCAACATTGCTTTATAGAATTTCTATGTTAAGGATACAAATTTTATTGCACTATTGTGCATTACCACAATTAATGTCTCTTCAATAATGCACGAGGTCAACATATTTAAAAATCCGATCCCCAATACAAGTGTTGAAGAAATTATAATACAAAAAACTAAAAGTAAAGCGATAAACAATTGTCTTACCTGCATCACCGCTATACCCTCCAATAGTCAGCTTGTACTGTGATGCTGGATCTCCAACAACAAATGTCTTATATTTAGCATACTTCTTGTTGTTGCTTTTACCAGTGAGGTCAATTCTCAGCTCGTATGTACCACTGGACGTCAAACGGTGAATATGTTTGTTGCCTAAATACAGACATATACATGTAGCTAATTAGCAAGGTATTTCCATATAATGATTTTTTTTAGTATATGCCTAGCGTAAACATTTGACGAATTGGTGAAGTTTATAGTTTTTATTTTAATAATTGATAATGACGGGTTTACTTGCAAGAAATCAAACAAAAAATGAACATGTCACGTGTACAAAGTAACAAGATTGCTATGTATAGTTGTGTTCACACCAATGACAATTAAAGAAGATCATTTTCTAATTAAAAATTTCTACCATAAATCTATCCAATTATTGACACCAAATGATAAATGTTAGTCGGTAGAACAAAGTGGCAGACGCTTTAATCATATGTTATAACACTTATTGGTTATATGTTTTATATATACCTACCAAACCAATATTCTCCATTGACGTTACCGAACCCGTTTTCGCATTCTGTCCAAGTTCTCTGGAAGTTAACAGAACCGTCATATCTTTTCTGGATAACCTTCAATGAAATGATGAGATAAGATATTTAAACTAGAATATCCAGCAAAAGCAATACATTCAAATATGTAGTGAAACTCATTCCTATCGACATTTTGCCAACAACCGCAATTTCCATATGTAACAGTATTCAGATAATCAGAAATGTTTACTATTTATTTTTAATTCTAATGCTATTTGAAAGATCTTATTATGTGCTGTCTTTTAGAAGGTTGTAATACTAGTATACAATTCATCGGTAAACTAAGAGCTTATCTTAAAAAGCGACTAATAATAATAAGTGTGTTTCATTAGAATAAACATGATAAATGAATGTCTCATATATCAGTATATAGACGTAACAATAAACATCAAATACGTATGTAGATAACATGGGTAAAGACTATTTCATATTCTTATTGTGATTTGTAATATAATAATATAATTTACAACCCTTTGTGAAAACTTTGCTATATTCAGAGATAATTTCTATCCATTTTTTCTTTGCTTTTTCTGTTATTAATATCATTATCGGACAAACAATTATCATAGTTAAATTATATTTTCTGTCTGTTTTCTGATTTGCTTTTGATAGTTTTATAATTTATCAAACACAGTTGTTTAATGTTCACTAGTATACGTAATCTTCACTGTAAAATCATTTATCTATTACTCTTTATGTAGTCTATTAAAACAGTTGCAATATTGAAAGGCAGGGAAAATTTATTTTCCTTTGCTTTAAGTAGTACGTTTTTATGTTATGTTGCATCCTATTGTATAATCTATACTCATAACATTATACAAAAATCTTAATATAGAAACATACTTCATAGTTAGCCTGATTTGAATAGTTTGATTCCATATTTGAAAACAACTTACTGTCCACCCCCCACTGTCTGTATCCATATCACAATAAGCTTTAACTCCTTTGGTTTTCTTAGGAAATATTTTGTAGACACCAGAGCTAGCTTTAGATTTCTTTAATTCGGTGCAGTCCTTTGCAGTACGTCCACATATTCCTGCAATTCATATTCAATACAGTTGTATATATTTGATAGAAAGAAATATATTTTATTGAACATAAACAATATTTATTTTCATATGAAACGATGTAGATTTTCCTAATTTTTTTTCTCCTGTTTTTTTTAATATTCGCTATAATAATGAAAAGACATATTGACGATTATAAAAAGTCAATGCGTTCTACATACCTTTAACTTCATGTTTCAACAGTCTTATAATCCTTGAAATTTCTTTTTGGCCACGAGACTCTATAAAATGAATATGCAAATCTTTTGATTCATTCTTACTCAATTCAAGTATACATGTGTATGCCTTTCTTTACATTACCATATTTCATTACCTTTTTTTGAACTAATTCCTGGTGTCAAGCCCTCAAATCGACGACTTGATCTATATTTGTAAATCTACCTATTCAAAAAGGCATATTTATATATTGTCAAATATAGGCTATAAAAGTTTATAAATAAATACACCAGTTGAAGTACGAATCCTTGATTGTGTTTTTATAGACAACAGATTGAACTTGTACCATATGCTCCAATCATAGTTATTTAACATGCCCCCTTTCAACAAATTTATTAAATTCGTCGTGCCAATTCCTGTTGATTTAGTCCGTCAGCAATTGTTCATATTTGTGATAATGTCATTTTGTGGATCACTGATGGTAATATCTAGAATATTTGTTTTGCAGATACATGTATGTAAGGATATGTTCCTATTTTTGTAACTATAACCCTGTCCTCTTTTCATCACAACGGATGCCACATTAGGAGCAAGATTTGTTATCCCTTCCGGAGCACCTGAGCTCATCTCCGGTTTTTGGTGGAGTTCGTGTTGCTCAGTGTTTAATTTTCTATGTTGTGTTTTGTATACTGTTGTTAGTCTTATGATAGTTTTTTGTTTTTGTTCTATACCATGGCATTTCCAATTTTTTTCGACTTCTAAACTTAAATGGCCTTTTATGTCTCTTGTGGAGAGTTGTCTAATTGGAAATCATACCACATCTTCTTATTTCTATATTTTGGTTTCTTTCGCCTCTCATTTAAACCGCCCATTTTTGTTTACTCTAACTGACATTCGTAACCAAATGTGTATCTTTTGTTTTCCTTAATGACATAAACGCTACCGATTGTATTACACCTGATGATGGCAAATAGTGTTTCGTTAGTGACGCTGAAGGTCAAAATATTTTGATTTTAAATTATATACACACGTCGAAGAGCTGATAAATCAGAGAGGAAAAAACATAATAAATGGGGGGAAAAACTGAAAGAAATCCGTGCTATAAACATGTATAATTACGAAGGATATAATTCCTTAAGTGTACCAAAATGTTTCATAGAAAAAAAATTAATATAACAATAGCCGTATTTTTTGCAAGTACCGAATGACTTGCTACTGAGCTTGTGATAATGTAAGGGACTAACATTCCACCAAGGTTCCATTCGTGTTATTTTAAAACAACCAATTGTAATGAACCATCTGCAAACTTCAACAATAAATGGCTCGTCAGTGATGTCTGTTATAACAATTGTTTTTGACTATCCACAGCCTAACACTGTTTCAATTTTTTAAGAGACTTCCATTCCTTCGCTCTGAGGTAAAATTTAAATTCGTTGATTTATGTACTGTTTCCTACCAATATACATGATATAATAGTTCTCAAATGTATAAACAATTCCGGGAAAATATATATCTGCATGTATATGTAACGCTTGAATCAATTATACTAACCTTCTAGGATCCATTTTATATCATTCTTCAACTGTTTGTTCATCTTTACTACATCTTTATACACCGGAATATCTGTTAAAAAGACAGGATTCAAATATTTATTATAGACAACACAAAGACAGTTATCCCTTTTAATCCGGTACAAATTGTTTTTTATTAGTGATTTTCAATCAAGTTATTTTCCTTTCTGTTATTATCATCAAGATGGTGAGTAGATATTTCAAGACAATAATAGAATAAAATGTGTTTGTGTTGGTATTGCATATTTTTTGTATGGTTGCATTTCAAAATGAGAGGAGATGCAAACATGACAAAGGAGACAGTTAAAAATCAGGAAGCATCAGACAAACAACTATAACAACACTTTGTATAGAACATTTGTAGATGACACGCGCGTCTGACGTACACAATTTTAACCTTGGTATATATGATGAGTTCGTTATTAAAGACCGATTAACAAGAACCTCACCATAAACCGGGCGGACTATTACGTATCAGGGTGTTATCAGTACCTCATCCACATGATGCACACGTCGTGTTGCTTTGACTTGAATTTTTAAAAGCGATAAACACTAGAAGCCTACGTTTTTGAGTTGACTATCTTCGTCTTTTCGGTTGATAGAAAACACATTTGTTTGTGTAGGTACCAGTCTACTGTGAAAGACTTTATGTTTTCCTCTTAATGCCTTGTGTTATTTTTTGTCGTTTGGTTGCTTACTTTTTGATGTTATACCCAAATTGTATTTCATTCATCTTTTCTCGTTTTCAAAATCTTTTAACTTTGTGCCGTCGACAGGATATTTAAAAAAAATAACAATCAATAAATAATAAACATTTAAAATCGTTAAATACTTACTTTTGAGTATGGATTGCGTATCTTTCTTCAGTTGTGCGACGTCGCTGTATTCATTTTCATGCAAACATATTCGTATACAAAAATTAATTATAATGCTGCAACATGACATCAAACAATGCTAGATCATACAGTCAGGAGTGAAGAAAGAAAAATCTGATAATTTGCTTACTAAGATTAGAAAAATGTTTTAAGATATTTGTTATTTCCATTCATTAAGTCTTATGTTACAGATTTATGTTACTGCTTCTACTTAAGATCTACCATTGCATTACTGTCTGACTAATGAAACCATGAGCTTATATGGATAAAAACTATAGGTAATTTGTAAATGACAAAGATATCAACTACAATTCTCTTCATAAAAAACTAAAAATAGCTTGTAAAATATAATTAAAATTGTTGAAGAATGATATAAAACTACTAGCAAAACAACTATTAGTATTTAAGTTCATATACAAGCCTTTGATATTTTCAAAATATATTGTAGGTTTTGCATTTTCTATTCTCTATACTGGAAATCTACAGAATCTTATCTCTACATAACACACATGTAGTTAAATTGAAAATGGAAACGGGGAATGTGTCAAAGAGACAACAATAGCAGTAGAGAGCCAAAGGCAAGCACTGTTCACAGCATGAACATCCCACACCCGGAGGCAGGCTTCAGCTGGCCCCTAAACACAAATGTAGTCTAGTTCAGAGAAAATGTACGTCACACTAAACTCCGAAACATATAGATGAACAAAAATAAAAAAAAAACATACAAGGCTAACAAATGCCAGAGGCTGTATATTTTAAATTCAATAATGTGTTCATCAACCAAATGTTAGTATTCTAAATTTGATTATTATTCTTACATTCTATTTGGACTTAAATAAACCTGCTAATGTGATGATTTGTGTGACACATTTATTTATTAGTGTTGTTACATATTGTTCTTTTTATGACAAAATACATTCAAACTATTAAAACAATCTCCTTGTTAATTGGTTAAAATAATCGTTTGTACTAACCATAATACCATGGTGTCAATGATATACACCCAATCAGACTAACGCCCTCAGGGTGTCTCTAATACTTACATCTAAACAATACTGAGTGGATCAATTACGGGAAAAGTCATTAGATAAAATAGAAATGTTTTGTTTTCTGCTTTTATGAATTATAAACTTTACTTTTGCTTTACTATTTTAGTAATGCTTAGTCATACAGTTCTCATATGTTTATTTCTTTTTATTGTAATTTGATAATTTTAATAACTAGATTATAATAATATAAATAAAAAAGAAGTATAAATTTAAATGTTCTGGATATCATCTACGTTTCATTTCGTATCAGATTTCTAACATGTATGACGACATATTATCAAGCTTTCAACATGTAAATAGAAATGCATGACCACTCTCGGGTTTTACCTCTGTGGATACGTGTTAATTCATTAGGTAAGCACACTTCAAACTATGCATAAGATTTTTCAAAAGGCTGAATAACGTTTACGTGATAAAGATAAAAGTTTAACATCTCTATACGGTAAAAGAAAGTAATTAAAGATGACTTGTACCACACAGTTTTTTAAATGCTAGATAATAATAAGAAGAAAATTGAACTTCTGCTGCCCTGGTAATTAGAAAAGAAAATTGAAATTGTGAAAAATGAGTGTTGGCTATTGGTGAAGAACGGATCTTTTAAAGTGAAAACGCAGAACCCAAAAAGACTACCATTGTCGCCTATGTAAATAATTACTTCATTTTAACCAACAGATGCGCCAAAAAATAAAATAAGATATTCTGATCTTCGCAGAGCAAAGGAGTTTTTGTATGATGCATTTTTTAATAGTGATTGTTATTATCATCTTTGAATATACCTTTAGTATCTTCCGCGTCTCTGATTAGCGGTGTACTATATAAGGAAAGATGTAGTTTTCTGAACAATACTGTTCGGACTTTAATAAACTCTATGATGCATGAATTGTAGAACATGCATGCTTAACATTTGAACAAGCATTAAACCGTATCTTGAAAAATGTACTACTAGCTTTCAGCAAACACAAGAAAAAAAAAACGGTAATACTACCTTGTAATTCGTGTAAAATGTCATCAAGTCTTCTCCTCTGATTCTCGATATGTTCTCAAATCTGAAATTAAATTTTAGTGTTTCAAAATGTCACAAGTGTTTATTATTTAAGTTTATTTTCGCGTGCCGTCAATAAACCATCGCGGAAACGTATTTAATAATTCCAAATCAGATTTGCTTTATCAATGTGACTGCCCAATTCAAAATGTTATCATTTATTTTTTATATTTTACCAATTATTGAAGTATCGCATTTCATAACATTTTACCCTTTTAAATTATTTTTAATTATTATCTTTAAGCCCTGGCAACACATTATCTTATCGCCTTACGTGTTTCCCTCCACAAGTTCTACATGGGTACATACATTGTGTTCGGCTAACTCTTCCTACAGCTTCAAGCTTGAACTTTGATATTGTGCAGATGTTAGTACATATACAAAAGGTGTGTACATCATAAGTATTATGATTTTTCTTATTCATTAAAACAAATGACAGGTGCTTGTCATTGTTTAATAAAATTATTCATATTGTATGGGTACACATAAACGATTAGCATATGTTATTTTAAGAAATATATTGGTGCAAAATGAAGATGTTCAATATGTACAAGATTTAAAAGTAAGTGATATATTTTAATATGTATTGGAAATATCAGCTGCAAAAAAAAAAAAAAAAAACTGAAGCTTTTTGTGGTGATAATTGAATGAGTATATGTAAAGAAATGTATGATACCCAAATTATAAAAATTCCCTTAGTACATACACATTTGTTATATACCTCAAACAAATTATCGCATCACCCTGATTTTTCTCACAAATGAATAGCCTAGCATATAATTTCATTTATGTCTCCAAAAGTATATAAGTTTTACACTTCCGTTAATTGCCTAAATAAAATAAAAACGTTTAAAAAAACACACAAAATTGAGCTAACTAAAAAACAAGATTGTAAATAATTTAGAAAAAAAATCGGATTTATATATATTTGAGAGATTCAAAATAATAAATTTTGTTATATATTGCATTTAACAATTCCTGTGTTTATATTTTGACCGTTGATCAGGGAAATCATTCAGTGTTTGTTTATTCTTAACAGATAATATCAGGCATCCATGGCTTCAAAATGGTTATCCAAAGAGTTATCAAATATATCTTAAAAAGGACTCATTTTCGACTAAATGAAAATACCCATTTGCATTAAAATAATCATTTCAAATTACATACAAGATGTTTATATTCTTAATGAAACAAATGTACCTTTCATCAAATTATAAATGCCTAAAAAAATGCTCAAAACTTGCATCTCATATTGGCAATGGCAAATTTTGAGTAATTTAGTTTTCAACATATTTATAAAAATTCAAACATGTATGAACATTCACTTTTAAGTCAGTACGTATATTGTCTTACAAATACAAATTAATTCAAATTTCTTTAATTCTTTATCAAAATATCTAGATTATGCTATGTGAAACAAAACTTTCTCCAACAGCAGTGTATATTGATTATGTTGAAAGAATTAAAAAAACAAATCGTATTCCAGTCAGTTTTTACAATTTTCTGTTTTTAACAGTGTTAGTGGAACAGAAATTTGTACCTTTCTTTAAAAGGAGTGTTAAATTGTACACTGGGCGTTTTTCTGGCTATTTAAAAACGGCAAGAACGAAAGGCAGTGTTAACAGAAAATGAAAATCGTATGTATAATTTTAGGCAAGTCAAAATTACTTTACTTGTGTTTAAAATAATGTGGGTGTTTATGAAAAAGTGCTGTCAGACTGACATGCCAAGGTCATATTATTATGTAGGAAAACACTTCAGTATATTTTGAGCATAAATCTTCAAATTACTCTTATTGCGCATGATTATGTCCCGTTTTCTCTTAGGTATTTGATGTGTATAATCATATACATATTACAAACACAATGAAAGGGGTCAAAGAAAGAAAAAGAGAAATTTGTAAAAAAAATATGCATTTGTACATTTGACAAAATTTTAACTGCATCATGTAAGTAGGAATTATATCTATAAAAATAACAAGCTTTTATAATTATCTAGTATGATGTGACCATTTTTCAAACACAAAATTGATTTCATTCATGTATTAAAATCTCATATTAACATTTTATTCATCACTTTTTGTGTTCATACATAGAACAAATTTGATTTAATGATGTATTATACTTTAAAAAGTGATTTAAACACATTAGTGTATAGGAGGACACTTTTGTTTATCAAAAGACACTTTTCAACTATTTTGAAGTGTAATTAGCTTGAAATATGCCAGTTATGATTGTATAGTTATCTTCTTCTTTTGTAGAAAGAAAATCACTACACATTAGAATGAAATTTATAGTACCCAGAGACACATAGTTTCAACAACGCCAAGTAAGAAGTCTACATAATGTAAGCATTGAAATCATTATATTGTTTTGTACATGTTGTATGTACATAACTTTAACGCTTCATTCAGTCAGTGCAGATAAAGTAATAAATAAAAGAATTTTGGTTAAGCAGTGATTATGTCTCAGAAAGTATCATTTTTAGTATCGTGTAGTTTAAACTAATATAATATAATTAATATTGTTATTTTAAAGAAACTTTTTAATTTGGAGATGTATTTTTAACTAAAAGGTTACATCCAAAATAATTTTATACTATTTATTAAGATATAATTTAAAGTGAAACTTACTATTTTGTATCAGATCATATATGATGGTCTGGATAGGGTCCTTCATTTATTCCTTTCAATTTGTTGGTCCACTATTCCCTATTCTGTAAACTAAACACTCTCAATAAATTTGAAAATTGCAAATACAATATTGTTTACAATTCTATTTTCAGCACACTTTGGTGACTTGTAAGCAATGGCATTATACCACCCAAGGAAACTGAAAGAGAAAAAGAGGGAAAAAGACTGTGCACGTCCTTTATTTTGAAAATGCAAAACAAAGAAATTGTGGATCATATAAAACTATGATTTTGGATCTATGCATGAACAGAGAAATGATAGAAAATATGTATGTGAGAATTAGTTCTTGACATATTGCAGAAGACTGATTACTGAGCTGTGTATAAGATGTGTATTACAATATTGTTTCTGGAACATAGAAGACAGAGAAATAAAAATATCAAATCAGAGAAAAATACTGTGTACCTGTTTCTTGTGGGGATTTACATACAAAAGGAAATTGTCAAATAAAAAATGTCATAATATTGTGATGATTTAAAATCTGTGAGAAATGAAATGTTTATGACTATTTGTGACAATTA